TTGACAGCTCGACGGTAAAATATATTTTAATAGTACTAAGATTTTGTATTCAGCTGTTATTAAGGATAAACAAATGTTTATATCAACATCGAAGCCTTTTAAAGAAATAGTGACATGAAATGATTTGTCCAAATCATAAACGTCCAACGAATGGATTGAATGTAAGCAAATTGTAAGGTGGAGCATCGTGCAAAACTAATGTTGAGAGCCAAGAGAGTCAAAATCAATGTAAGGTAGAGCCATCGAGAAGAAAGTTTAGAAAATTTGTTAGTACTCTCATAGTAATAGTCGAGGGGTTGATTGGGTTAGCTTGGAAAATTTTATTAAACTAAACTCAATTGCTCATGTTTTACATATTTTTCGTTAAAGCAACGTTTATTAAACAATGAACCCAGCCATAAATTTTTTAGCTTGGGTGAGTTCCGATCATTTGTTCAAATTTTTCTTTTAATAAGAATAAAATGTTAATTCATAAAATACCTACTTATTTATTTTCAAACATTTAATTAAAATTTACCAAGAGCGGACGAGCTAAGGAAGAAATTTATCTAAGAATGTCATAATACCTTATGGATCGGTTATCCAGGATGACAGTGAACATATGCCTAAGCGAAGAAGGGGTACTTTTGACCAAATATGTGAGATATGAAATAATATAGTACACCAAGAAATGCTTCATTTGCCAACCGCGCAAAGTTGAAAAGGCCAAGATCTCAGGACTCTTCGAACCCTTGCTAGTGACAACAAGACCTTGGGAAAGTGTCACTAGCCTTCATCACACACACATCCCAAAGATTGGCAAACATGAAGCCAGGTCATCGTAGACGGATTCTTGAAATATGTCGTGTTCGTGCTCACGCTCAAGATATGTTTAGTCGAATTGGTTGACCAACTATTCTTCAAACATATTTATCAAGACGTTTTGGACGTAGTAATTCGAGTTCTTGGGGACAACTTTGAACATCTCCTGAATTACCATCTCTAGACCGATGGATAGACTGAGCGATTCAACTCTTTACTGAAAGAATATTTGGTCACTTCGTTGACGCATGTCAACAAAAATGAGATGCAACACTAGATGTGGTCCAATTCTGCTTTTGCCAAACTAGTTTATCAATCAGGAGGAGCCCTTTGAAATTGTGAGCCATGCCTATGCCATATCATTAACCACCTAGGGAAGACTCCTCAAGCCCAAAACTTCACAAATGAAAGCTGACAACAAATATAGCTTTGGCTTACTTAGAAAGAAATTTCAACCACCACAAAAAAAAAAAAGGGCAAGGTTGAAAAAAAATGGGCAAACAGGAATAATCATCCCATCACTTGACCAAGTACTCATCAAGTTGATTCTAGAACAGATTAATCTCTCTAACACAAAGGATCAGAGACTTGTCTAAAAATATGAAGGACGAGTTGAAGTTCTCAACAACAAAAAAAAAAAAAAAAAAAAATTGAGTTAAACTTTACAAGGGTGCCATTGCCCACATGGATGAAAATTTTAACAGTAATCCATGTGAGCAATCTAAAGTCCTACCTCCACCATCTAAACGATGACCGCCGCAATATCATTGTAAAACCTAGATTAGACCTTAAACAGAAAGACAACAAAGAAGTTGAGGTAATCCTAGCTGACAGAGTTGGGAAAGTTAGAAGGTCTATACAGAGTGTTCAAGAATTCTTTGTCAGATGGAAAAACCTCCCTATAGAGAAAACAAATTGAGCGCCAAAAATCTGGACTCCGCCGTGACCCACATTGCAAATTTTGAACTTAGTTGGTTGACAAGGGCATCAACCAATTAGGTGTGGGAGGATCTCACTGTCATTCTTGTCTAGGACATATTGCCCATGGCTGGATGCTCTTGACATGCCAAAACCTTTCTACTTACTTTCATGTCGTATTACTTTCTTATTACATTTTCTGTTTTATGATCCTTCGACAAAATCATGTTTACTCCTGTCATACCCGAACTGCATCAAAATGTACTATACTGGGACCAAGTAGTCCTCAAACCTCCCTCGACCAAGTATTGTAAGTGCTCATGACTTTCACAATTCTTTCTCTCAACTCACTTTCAATGATTTTTCTCGTCCACATTTTCTAAAACTTTTTCTCTCAAAATGTGGTTCAAGCTCGACTGTACGTTTAGATTGTCTTTATAATATGATTTTTACGCAGCGAACTTGTATTACCAAATCACACACCTATTGCCACAAGTATAGATATTGATATTTTGAGAATAAGTCTTAAGACTAATGACGATGGTTAACTATGGTTTTGATCAGTGGTTTTGCTAGAATAGACAATAATGAGGTCACTATTTTAGTAAATGATGGGGAGAAGGCTAGTGACTTTGATCCACAAGAAGCTCAACAAACTCTTGAAATAGCATAAGCTAACTTGAGGAAAGCTAGGTGCAAGAGACAAACGATAGTCATTGGATTGGAACAAGTGTCGCACTATCGTCATTCTGCTGCCAAAAATAGTACGATTATGATATTTGACATACATAGGATTATGATACTTCTTACATGAAGTGCTCCATTCGATGTGCGTAGAATCTACCTAATATCTTGATAGTGGTTGTAGTAATCACACGATGGTTAATAAAAGTATATTTTTTTTCTTTGAATGAATCTATCCAAAGTGAATTGAGAACCGGTGATAATACCATAGCGTCAAAGATATAGAGATAATATTCTCATGGAAACAATGAAAGACACAAAACGTGTCATGGATGTATCTTATGTACTGGGTTTGGAGCACAATCTTTTGAGTATTAGTCATTTTTAGCTCAAAGTTATTTACTTTAAATTTAGTTAAACTATTTCATTCAAAAGCTTGTTTAATTTATAAGTATGATTGAAAAGATCACAAATGATCATTTAACTAAAACAAAATTGTATAAAAAATATATGAACAGAATACAAAACGTCTCTACTCTTGTTTTGGATACATGTTTTGGTGTTCTTTCCAACCATATACATAAACTGAACAAATTTTTAAATAATCTCCAAAATATGAAATAATCCAATTAAACTTTAAGGATCATAAATTTTGTGCCTTTAGTATTTATTTTAACTCACAGTATAAAGAAAATAAAAAAAAAAATACCTCTAGCTAAAAATAAGCAGCTTCACAAAAGTATTTTAAATAACTATTTTTTGGGTTGCAATTAGTTTGATGAAAGGAAAAGTCCCATCTGGGCATAGCGTAATTTAGAGAATGATTATGATTTATAATCGAGGAATACTATCTTCATTGGTATGAAATCTTTTGGGAAGCACGAACCAAAGCCATAAGAGCTTATACTCAAAGTATAAATTTTTTCATGATGTTGAACATAATAAGTGATATATAATAACAATTACAGCATAAATAACTTAATAAAAACTTTATAAACTATAGGAGTTGAATAATAATGGAGATTAAACATATATTTAAGATGAACAGTTAACGCATACGTCTTTGTTGTATCTTCTTCTCTATCTTCTGTTTGAACAATGAAATCCCCACTAAAACAACACCACTGCCAATAGAAAACACAAGAACAGTGACGGCCCGGGGTATCATCGGCTCCGGCGTATAAGCTTTTACCGACGACACATAAGACGAGAGCATGCTACCTAATGCGAAGAACAAAGTGTAGTACAGATATTTCCTCGAAAGTGAGGGTGTGTCGCTTGGCAACTCATTCAACAGCACTATGAATTGCAACATTGAAACTATCATGCACACTGTTACGCCAACGATGAATGTTGTGAACTCAGCTGGGAATTTTGTGGCCATTATCGATGTCCCTGCTACAATACTTGTGCGTACCCAATTTAGTCACAAAAAAAATTAACATTAATCACCATATTTTTCAATTCTATACATAGTTATTAATAGAACATACCTCTCATGAGTATTTAAAGATTTTTTTTTTTTTTTTTTAATCTCTTCCCTCTATTGTTTCATACCTCGAGTTCTTATCATCTTGTTGCCAGACACCACCAGGAGGGCTCACCCCGGCTTGGAAAGCAACGGTTGCCATGAATGTTACTACTACCAACAGATACTCTCTATCTCTCTTCTGCCAAGTCTCCTCCTTGTTCTGATCTTCTCTACCATTTCCAATTTGGTTGGGTGCTTCTTCCTCAAGCCTACTTGCCATGGCTGAGCTGATTGATCTTTGTGTTGTAGATACGGCCAAAAGTTAGAGTTTGGCACTAGAAGAATAAGAAACATTTATTAGAGATATTGTTTAAGGGCATTGTGGCTGTTGTTTACCCATTGGTTCTCATATTTAATTTGTGGATGCTATTCATTTGCTGGTCAATAAAGATGTGGAGTCCCTTCAAATGAAGGAAAAATAGAAATTATAAATATATTATTATTATTATTATTATTGTGATTGAGTTTCGTTCAATTTAATTGTAATTTATGAATTTAGTTGGCTTCAAAATTTGAGAAGACTTATACGTACGTCTAAAAGATCTGAGAATAGTAAGAGATTGATAGGCCAAAAGGGTTTACGTCTCGTAAGATGACAATTTGTTGTGGCAAGCCCGCCGATACATACTATGAGATGAGGAAATTTAGAAGGATGTTATAACTAAAGCCCACTAGATTGATAGGCCAAAAGAGTTTACGTCTCATAAGATGACAATTTGTTGTGGCAAGGCGACCTATGCATACCATGGGGATGAGGAAATTTAGAAGGATGTTATAACTAAATCACATATCAAGTGGACATGTTGACTCAGTTGTATGTTTAAGAGACAGGCCATCTACACGGTATTCCAATTTTTATCACATGAGATCGGGAAACAAGGTTCACCTCCCACTTCTAGAAGGGTCTACATAAGGTGTTGGGTATGTAACTTAAGTTAAGTACGACTTTTCATCCACGTATGGATGGATAAACTAAGAGGTTGAACTAGATTCTGTAATTTCCTTGATTATAATAACAATTACAGGATAAATAACTTAATAAAATTGTAATTTCCTTGATAAATTTGGATCACTCTCATTTTCTTATTCTTACTTTTTTTTCCATTGAACGACCGTGTTAGAGTCCCCCACAATATATAATTGTAGGTACGAAATACAATTTTCACAATATATAATTGTAGGTATGAAATAAATTTTCAGTAATGAACGACTCAACTCTTAAAATATTTTCCTATTTCTTTTCTAGAAATAACTTCACTACATTTCTTGGTGTCAAAACAGGTTAAGATAGAGAATCTATTCTCTTAAAAAAAAAAAATGATCTTGGAGATTGTGTAATGCTTACTCTAAAACTATTTGTTTATACCGTGGTAATATTCTTTGTTTCTCTCTTCATTTTCGGATTGTTATCTAATGACCCGCGACGTGAAGAATAAAACAAATGATTTTTTTCCTTGCTTGATTTTGAAATGTTCTAAAAATTTTAAAAATACAAAAAACTCGTACAACGGATTAGCAATCCGACCCTTTATTCCTCTCAGCCATCTCTCCCCAAATTGAAAAAGGATAATTACTATGATACATAGTATAAAAAATAGAAAATGAAGGCCTGAAAAAAGCCCTTCCCCTTATGCATACTATGGGATGAGGAAATTTAGAAGGATATTATAACTAAAGCCCACTAGATTGATAGGCCAACGTCTCATAAGATGACAATTTTTTGTGGCAAGCCCGCCTATGCATACCATGGGATGAGGAAATTTAGAAGGATGTTATAACTAAATCACATCCCAAGTGGACATGTTGACTCAGTTGTATGTTTAAGAGACAGGCCATCTACACGGTATTCCATTTTTTATCACATGAGATCGGGAAACAAGGTTCACCTCCCACTTCTAGAAGGGTCTAGATAAGGTGTTGGGTATGTAACTCAAGTTAAGTACGACTTTTCATCCACGTATGGATGGATAAACTAAGAGGTTGAACTAGATTCTCGAGGACATGTGTTATAGAATTTTCTAGTTGTTGGGATGCACACTTGTACTTAATGGAGTTTGCTTATAATAATAGCTACATGTGACTATGTAGATGGCACCCTTAGAGACTCTCTACAAGTGTAGGTGTCAAACTTCTATCTTCTAAGAAGAGGTAGGTGAACAACAACTTCTAGTGCCACAGTTGGTTTAGATTATTAATGTAGCAGTACAAAAAATTAGATAAAGAATACTGAAGGCATGAAGCGGGCAAAAGCACTACGTAGACACTCGTAGAAAGGAACTTGAGTTTATTACGGGTGATCATGTCTTTCTCAAAGTTGCACCTTTGATAGGGGTGTTGAAATTGGGAAGAAGGGCAAGTTGAAGGCAAGATTTGTAGGCCCGCTTTGAGATCCTGGAGAAAATAGGACTAGTGACGTACAAATTGACACTATCACCTACACTTACCACTGTGCATGACGTGTTCCATATGTCTGTACTATAGAAGTATACCTCAGACCCTTCATATGTTGTCGAACATGAGTCACTAATTTTAGAGAGGAATTTTCATATGGGAGAAGTCAATGAAGATACTAGTCAAAGATGTGAAGCCTGTGCACAACAAGCAGATTGCCTTGGTCATAGTCTTATGATAGAACCATTGATGAAGCCACTTGAAAAAAAGAGGATAAAGAAAAGAAAGAAGAAAAAAAGAAAGAGAAAAGAAGGGGTTAGAGTTTTGGAAAGAAAGTTAAAAGAAAACAATATTCGACCACTAGATTCCATGACCTATAGTCATTTTTTCCAAGCTTTCCAAAATTGAAGGTAAGAGAGCTACTATTTTTCTTTAGATTTAAGCATTTAGATGTTTAATATTCTAGAAATTAGATCATTTTGAACCAATCTTGTGAAGGAGCTTGAGAGACGGTAAAAATTGGAGTTCCATAATTGGTGTTCCATTCAAGGTCAAAGAAGGGTAAGTTTTAAGAAATTGCCCCTTGTGATTATCTATTTTTTACCCTAAATGAAATTGAATGAAATTAACTTTGTTGGATTTAAAAACTTCGTAACTTTTTTGAAGAAGCCAATCGAGTTTTGTAGAAAAATATATAGAAATTGAAAGAAATTAGGAAAAAATGAAAATTTTAGGTTCACGTGCATTGGGGTGGATTAAATCTAAGCGCTCATGGAGGTGGAAGGACGTGCGCTGACCCTACGTTAATTGAAGAAAAATAAATGAGGCAACATTTTGTGAGACTTAAAAGGTGTGCTTTTGGAGTACACCTGCCACACCAAGAAAAAAAATTTGAAAATACTAATGCCATACATTCACCTGGACTCAAAGCTAAGAACACTCGTGTTGTGAGTGGGATGCGTGAGTGAATTTTTTTTTAGGAGTTTATGTTAAGTTATGCTTAAGGGTAAGTAGCGACTGGCCGAGGTATTTGCATGTGAGCCCGTTACGAGTGGAATTGCGCATAGAATCCTTTCCAACCACGCATGTGGCGCGTGGAGGTGCGTGGAAGGTGATCTTTTGACTATTTTACCTTATACTAAGCCCAAAATGACTAGAATTATGACTATCTAGTGGAACTTTTAGAGATTTGGAACACCGAAAATGACATGCCAGAAGAGGACTCTAACTTCCCAATTGCTCCCTTTGAAGACGAAGTTGGACTTTACTATAGGGCGAGTGAGTTGTCTTTCTACTCAACACATCGGCAACTATGTTAGCTTTACATGGGTGATAAAGGATTCTTGGTATCATAATCCTTCACAAACTCCAACTATCTCCTTTGTCCCATGTTCAACTCTTTCTACCTGAATAAGATACTTGAGGCTCTTATGGTTAGTAAATATGATATGGAAATCAACCCAAGGGAAAATATGAAACGAATTACCTTGATGATCAAGATCAAGAGTAAAGAAAATTTGTTTCTAAACTCGTGATTCAAATCACTTCACAAGAGGTTTGATCAATACCCCTTGAATGACTCTACATGCAAATTCTAAACACAAGAATTTGCAAAGAAAGTTTAGCTCTCAACAGAGCTAACATAGAAATTTTATTCTTAATTCCAAAATCCGATGTCTAATCAAAGAAAAGAAGGTTTTATATAGTCTTTACAACGTTAACGTTAACCTATGTGATACATAATTCCCAAATTAAATGGGGTAGTAAATGAGAAATACCCATAACCTCTCTATTAAAATGGCTAGTTAACGGTGGAATATAGTAACCTATGTGGGTTACAATATAACCTTAACTTCTATATTTAAAATTAACTTAAATATGATAAACAAATAGTTAAACTATAATTAAATAATGCAATTAATAAAATGTGCTTATTAGTCACCTTTGTCTAGTTTCATAAATTCAGCGGAGTTCATTAAATGCAACTTAAAGTGCATTTAATTCATCTCTTTCTTGAAACTTCAACTTTGCATAACATATAAGGGAGGTCTCCAACGTCTTCTAGAATTTCCTTTGATGAGCTCACCATAGCTTGAATATAACTGTATAAGGTTTGTTGTAGCTTCTTGGCTCTCGTCCTTGTAATTGGACCTTGAGGCATGGAAATTGCTTGGTCGTGGTTCATATCATTCTCCCCCTCTTGAGAAGGATTCGTCCTCGAATCCAAGCCATCACCTACATCAAAAGAACTCAAATCAACAATATTAAAAGATTGAACTAACACCGTACTTACCTAGTAAATCAATTTTATAAGCATTGTCGTTGATGCACTCAAAAACTTGAAAAGGTCCATCTTCTCGTGGTAAAAGCTTAGATTTTCTTTGAGTAGGAAATCTTTCTTTTCAGGAAATGCACCCAAACCCAATCTCCTGGCTTGAAGATGACAATCTTACGTCCTTTATTAATTCGGGTGGCAACCTTGGAATTTTGTTTCTCAATTTGTTCTTTTACTTGCTTGTGTAGTTTATGAACAAACTCAACCTTAGCATTTGCATCAAAATTCACAAACTCTTTTGACAGTATAGGTAACAAGTCAATGGGGATTAAAGGATTAAAGCCATAAACAATTTCAAAAGGTGTGCATTTAGTACTGTTATGAACAACCTATTATATGCAAATTCTATAAATGGCAAACAATCTTCCCAAGTCTTATTCTTATCAATAATAGCCCTAAGCATAACAGTCATGGTTATGTTAACAACTTCAGTTTGTCCATCGTTTGAGGATGACAAGTAGCTTAGTTCCTAACTTACCCCATAAAACACGCCAAAAGTGGCTTAAAAATTTTACATCACGATCACCAACGATGCTTTTAGGAACGCCATGCAATCGTACAACGTCCCTAAAGAACAAGTCAGCAATATATTTTGCATCCTCAGTTTTGTGACAAGAAATAAAATGAGTCATTTTACTAAATCGATCAACCACAACAAAGATGCTATCATAACCTTTCCTAGTCCTAGGTAAACCTAAAACAAAATCCATTGATATATCAATCCAATGACCATTAGGAACCGGTAATGGGGAGTATAAACCATGTGGTTGAAGCCTAGACTTATTGTTTACATGCTATGCAACGAGCACAAACTTTATGAACATCATGTCTCATTTTAGGCCAAAAAAAATGTTCAGAGAGCATATCATAAGTTTTTGAAACTCAATGGTGTGCCATTAAACCACCTCCATGAGCTTCCCTCACAAGTAGCTCACGGATGGAACAAGATGGTATGCAAAGTTTGCCTTTTCGAAACAAAAATCCATCTAACAACAAGTAATTATCCACAATGAGTCCCTTTTCACAAGATTCAACAAAAGGAACAAAGAACATGTCATGTTGATACAAATCTTTTATGTGTTCAAAACCCAACAACCTAGCATTCAAAGTATTGAGGAGGACATACCTTCGTGATAAAGCATCTGCAACAATGTTCTTCTTACCTTGTTTATATTTTATGACATAAGGGAATGTTTCAATAAATTCTAACCACTTAGCATGTTGTCTATTGAGTTTATTTTGTACTCTCAAATGCTTTAAATTTTCATGATCCGTATGAATAATGAACTCCTTAGGCCAAAGATAATGTTGTCAGGTTTGCAATGCACGAACCAAAGCATAAAGCTCTTTGTCATAAGTTGGATACCTCAAAGATGCACCAGTCAACTTCTCACTAAAGAACATTAAAGGTCTTAGATTTTGCATTAATACAACACCTATTCCTACTCCACTAGCATCACATTCAATTTCAAAAGTAGACTCAAAATTAGGTAATGCAAGCAAGGGAGCATAACTCAATTTTTCTTTCAAAGTATTAAAAACAAGTTCTTGATCTTTTTCCCATATAAAGGATATATTTTTCTTAACAAGTT